GCTTGGCTCCACCTCCCCTCTTACCTGGGGCATCACCTCGGCTGCTGACACCCTCTCTGGGCACATCAGTGGTGATGTCATCGGTGAGGTCATCGCCCGGGCAGACAGGTTCTTTAAGGGCCATAGGGGGTTGCTCCTCCCCGGGGCTGATGTCACCCACGACATCATCCTCAGGGCTGACATCACGGCCAGAGAGGGCTCCCGGGAGGGAGGAGGTGACATCACCCCCGATGATGTCACCAAGGTCAGATCCTCGTGTGACATCATCTCTGACGTCAGCCTTGGGAGTGATGTCATGTCTAGCAATTGCACCAGGGATGAAGGACGTGATGTCATCCTCAGGCATGACATCATCAGTGAAGTCATTCCAAGCGGAGGTGTCACCATCGTTCCCACAGATGATGTCACCAGTGAGGTCAACAGCAGGTTTGACTTCCTGGCTAGCAGCATCCCCTGGCAGGGAGGAAGTGACATCATCCGTGGCAATGATGTCACCAGCAGGGATATCCCCAGGTACAGAAAACGTGATGTCTTCCCCCGCAATGATGTCATTAGTGAGGTCGCCTCCAGGGATGATGTCAACAGCAAGGTCATCCCCAGGAAAGGAGGGAATAAGATCGTGGCCGGCGATGACATCATCAGCGCAGATATCCCTAGGGAGGGAGGAAGGGATGTTGTCCCTGGTGATGATGTCATCAGCGAGGTCATTTCTGGGAATGACGTCACCAGCAAGTTCATCCCCAGGAAGGGAGGAAGTGACATCGTGCCTGGTGATTATTTCACCAGCAAAGATGTCCCCAGCTATGATGTCACCAGTGAGGTCATTCCCAGGGATGATGCCACCAGCAACATCATCCCCAGGAAGGGAGGAAACGACATCAGTCTTGGTGATGACATCACCAGTACAGGCTTCCTCAGGGAGAAAGGAAGTGATGTCATCTCTGTTGATGAGCTCAATTATGTCATCCCCAGGGAGAGAGGAAGCGACATCATCCTTAACCATGACATCACCAGGGAGGGAGAAAATGATGTCATCCCTGATGATGTCACCAGCAGGGACATCCCCAGGGAGAGCGGAGGGGATGTCACCCCCTGCAGTGACATCACCGGGGCGGGTGGCCGCGCCGTCACCGCTCTCCACGACATCACAAGGGGCGTGCTCCCCGGGGAGGGCAGCAGTGACATCAGCGGCGATGTCATCGCTGGGGACGTCCTCGTCCCCGCTGGGGACATCCTCGTCCTCCACGGGGGGGGCCGTCACCATGATGGTGATGCCACCGGCGGCGCAGGTGTCCCCAACGTCCCCATCCCCCGTGCGCCTCAGGACTGTGACGTCTCCGTCCTTGTCCCCAACGTCCCCGTCCCCAACGTCCTTACCTCCGATGTCCCCAAGGTCCCTTGGGACAGTGACATCCCTGTCCCCAGTGTCCTTGTCCTCACCCCCAGAGACTGGGATGTCCCCAACGTCCCCTGAGACTGGGACATCCTTGTCCCCAACGTCCTTGACCAGCTGAGCTGGGACATCCCCGATGTCCCTTAGGGTGGTGACATCCTTGTCCCCAGGAGCTGGGACATCCCTGTCCCCACTGTCCTTGTCCTCAGAGACCAGGATGTCCCCGATGTCCCTTAGGACTGGGACATCCCTGTCCCCAATGTCCCTCAGGGTTGGGAGATCCCTGATGTCATTGTCCCCGGTGTCTCCACGGGCTGGGACATCCCTGTCCCCAGTGTCCTTGTCCCCAACATCTCTTGGGGTGGTGACATCCCTGTCCCCAATGTCCCCAACATCCCTCAGAGCTGAAACTTGAATGTCCCCAAAATCCTTGACCCAAGTGTCCCCTCGGACATCGCTGTCCCCAGCGTCCTTTGGAGCTGGGACATGCTTGTCCCCAACGTCCTCGTCCCCAACGTCCCTTAGGACCGAGACCTGCGTGTCCCCACCATCCTTGTCCCCAACGTCTCTTAGGATGGAGGCGTGCGTGTCCCCAATGTCCTTGTCCTCAACGTCCCCTGGGGCTGGGACATTCCCATCACCGATGTCCTTTGGAGCTGGGACATCCTTGTCCCCAACGTCCTTGTCCCCAGTGTCCCTTAGGACTGAGACCTGCATGTCCCCAACATCCTTGTCCCCAGCAACTGGGACATCCCTGTCCCCAACATCCTTGACCAGCTGGGCTGGGACATCCCTGTCCCCAATGTCCCTTAGGGTGGTGACATCCCTGTCCCCAGTGTCCCTCGGGGTGGTGACACCCTTGTCCCCAGAAGCTGGGACATCCCTGTCCTTGATGTCCTTCACGATGGTGACATCCTTGTCTCCACCATGAGCTGGGACATCCCTGTCCCCAGCGTCCCTCAGGATGGTGACATCCCCGTCCCCAGCATCCCTTGGGGAGGTGACATCCTTGTCCCCAGGAGCTGGGACATCCCTGTCCCCAGTGTCCCTTACAGCTGTGACATCCTTGTCCCCAGTGTCCTTGTCCAGAAGGGATGGACCATCCCGGTCTCCAGTGTCACTTGGGGTGACAATGTCCCCAATGTCCCTTAGAGCTGTGACACCCTTGTCACCATCGTCCTTGTCTCCAGGGGCTGGGACATCCCTGTGCCCAACATCCTTTGGGGTTGTGACATCCCTGTCCTCAATGGCCTTGTCACATACGACTGGGACACCCCCGTGCCCCGTGTCCCTTGTGACCGGGACGTCCCTGTCCCCAATGTCCTCGTCCCCGAAGCCTGGGACGTCCTCGTCCCCAAAGTCCCCGGTGTCCTCATCCGCCGGGGCTGCTGTGACGGTGATGGTGATGCCGCTGGCCCAGGGGGTGACGGTGACAGTGTCCGGGGGGACACCGGTGTCACTCTCCCCCTCGGGGACACCTCCAGCCTGTCCCCATGCAGGTTCGGGGTCTGTGGTGACGTCCCCAGGGGTGGCTGTCACCTCCCCAGGGAGGGGACGAGGGGGGACAGCGTGTGAGCACCCCTCGGCCATGGGCAGGGACCTGGGGGGACAGAGGGGACGGGGACGTCACTGGGGGTGACACGGGGCATCCCCGGGGGAGGGAGAAAGGCCACCGGGGGGACGTGGAGGGGACATTGGGGGGACACAGGGGACCCCAAGAGGGATGAGGGGATGTGGAGGGGACATGAGGGGACACAGGGGACCCCAGGAGGGACGGGGGGACATGGGGGAACACAGGGG